GCGGGCACTTCGCCGTGATCGTGCCGTGCTTGCACCACATGACCGCCCTCAGCCTCGAACCCATGTGCAGGGCGTTGGACGTGCTGGGGCCCACTTTCTGCGCTGCGAAAATGCTCGACGACGGGAACCGATACCTCAAGATCAGAAACAACATGAAGCACGTGCTCCTCAGCAAGCTTAGGTTAGTGGACACATCGAGGGAAATCATCGATGAGGCAGACAAGCACTTCGCTCAGACCTTGATGGAAGTATGCTATTACGACCCAGTGCTCAACCCCTTCGAAGGCCCCGACGCCGAAACGCCCGTGGAGAGAAAGAAGAGACAGAAGCATCGGCGACTGCAGGGCGAGAGACTGCTGAGGCTGGTACCCGTTTGGACAGGCCAAGAAATATTGCACCCCTGCCCCCCTGGATGCTGCGGGCCAGCCGCGTGCTCCTCGATGGAGAAGGCCGCCGACCAGATCATGTCCGCGGCGGACTTCGTGTTCGGGGCGGTCTCGACCCCCGCGATGAATAAGTGGACGAAGGTGGCCCTTGGGCCAGAGGGGCTAATGGGTTGCCGTCGACGTCGTCATCGTCGTCGTCGTCGTTGTCGTTGTCCTCCTCCTCCTCCTCCTCCCCCTCCTCCTCCTCCTCCTCCTCCCCCTCCTCCTCCTCCTCCTCCGCTTCCTCCTCCTCCTCCTCCTCCTCCTCCTCCTCCTCCTTCTCCTCCATGTCGTCGACCTCGTCGTCGGCGTCGTCGACGTCGACGTCGTTGACGTCGTCGTCATCTTCGTCGCAGTCTTCGCCGTCTTCGTCGTCGCGCGGGCGCAGGGGGAGGGGGGGGAGGGGGCCGGGGGAGGGCAGCGGTGGAGGGGGGGGGGAGGGGGAGGGCGAGGAAGGGATGGGAAAGGGATGGCGGGATAGGGCGGGAGGAGGATGGGGGAGGTCGAAGGGCGAGGAGCGGCGAGAGAGGGGAAGGGGGGCGGGGAAGGGGGGGCGGAGGAATGCTCAGCGGGGTTTTTGAGTGGCCTCTCAGGTTGCCCCCGCCATGACCCAGATGCTGCTCATGACCACGGCCGTCTGCCGGCTGCTGCCCAGGACCCTCAACTACATGTCTGGCCGCCAGGACGATACGCTGTACAGGCCTGCAGACGCCATCGGCGAAGACATGGCTTTGGGGACCCCCGAGAGCGAAGCCAGAGCGTTCACGTCCATCAACAGGAGGCGCACTAACAAAGCCATATCTTTTATCAGCGACACGTGTAGCCCCCTTCGCCTCGCCGTCTGGGTGTCGCTCGGGAGGCACGCCATGGCGCTCCACACTCTTCTCTTCAACGCGGTGCGAATCGGTGCTGCGAGGGGCCAGGTCAGCGAGATCGGCGACCAGCAGGGCTGCGGGGACGTGCTGCTTTCCCTGTGCCGCAAGGACTCCCCCGCCATCGGCGTGGCGGTCAAGCTCGCTGTGATGCTGTCGCCGGGCCGCCCCGAGTTCGCGGGGCAGTGGCAGGTCCTCGTGAACCTGCTGCCTACCGGCGCATGGCCAGTCCGCGGGGGGTGACGACCAAACCCGATGGCGTGGGCGGAGGGGGGGCCGCTGCGGTCGGAAGTGCATTCGGGCGTGGGGGCAGGGCCCCAGGGCAACGACCGTCGGCGGCACCCTTTGGGGTATTATGGCCGAGACTGGTCGAGGGGGAGGGGGTGCAGGAGGAGGGGGGGAGGGGCAGGATGAGGAGGAGGAGGAGGAGGAGGACGAGGAGGAGGGGGAGGAGGTCGAGCGCGCCCAGGAGGAAGAGGAGGAGGAGGAGGAGGAGGAGGAGGAGGAGGAGGGATAAGGGGAGGGGCGCAGGAATGAGTAGGCAGAGGCGGCCCAGGACCAAGTAAGAAGAGCTAGAGGAACGGATGGGCCCCTGGGCCGACGCGCGGGGGGCCGAAAAGGGGGGCCCTGCACTGCCGGCGTTGCGGCCTCCTCCTGACCCTGATTGGGTGATCGCCCTCCTTCTCATTGCTTCCCTTCTTCTCCTGCTTCTGCTGCTCCCCCGCCTCTTCATTATTCTGGGTAGCTCCATCGCTAGCCCATCCCCCTTTCCACCCCCTCCTCCTTATTCTCGTCGCCCTCCCTTCCGCATCCCCCTCCTCTTCATCATGTGAATCATGCCCCTCCTCGTCCCCCCCCTTCTCCCCCTCCCCCTTCTCATCCTCCTCCAGCTCCTCCTCCTCCTCCGCCGCCTCCTCCTCATCCTCCCTCTCCTCCTCCCCATCATCTCTTCCTCCTCCCCCCCCTCCTCCTCCTCCTCCATGCCCTCCTCCTCCTCGTCCTCCTCCTTCCTCCTCGCCCTCCGCCTCCTCCTCCTCCAACTCCCTCACCTCCATCTCCGCTTGTTCTGGCCCCCGAGGTTGCAATCCTGCGCCATTCGAGGAACGCGGCGCTGGCGCTCCTCGGGAACGTGTGGCGGCGGTTGATACTACCCTTTCGGAGGTGGCCCTGGCGCCTGTCGGCCCTGGTGGACCCTCGCTCGTCCGCGGAGGAGAAAGCCGAGTGCAAGCGTGAATTCATGGGCGCTGCGGAATGCTGCCTCGACCCCGGCTTGGGCAGGAGGCTCCGGCAACGGATAGAGGCGTCAGAGGGCCGCGAGGAGATCGACAGCCCTGGGGTCGTTGCCTTCTTGCAGGCCATGTGGGCGCGCGTGGTCCTGCCCACCGCTTTCGTGGAGTGCTTGTTCGCGTCGCATCGGCAGTGGCTTCTTCGGAGCTCGAGGCCGATGGGCATCTGGAACATTGGCAGGCGGCACACCCTGAACCAGCATATGCGGGCGTGCCAGAAGCGGGTAGTCCAAGGCATGGCAAGGGGGCGCCAGGCAGCCCCGGCAGCGCTCGGGCGGGCCATGCGCAGATGCAGGCCGCAGTGGGCCCACTCGAAGAGGAAGCGGGCGGCGGCGTCATGCGGGGCCCGGGGCACGACAGGTCTGAGCTGCTTCTTGGGGGAGGTGATCGCTGAGGCCAAGACTGCGGCAGTGGAGGACGGCGCGATGGTGGACATTCCCTCGGCGATGGCTGACGGGCACAAGCGCTGGGGGGGCATGAGCACGGAGGCCAAGAAGAAGTACGTGGCCCGGGCGAGAAACAAGCGGGCCTGTTACAGAGAGTTCGGCGATGACTTGAAACGTTTCTTGGAGGACCGCAAGAAAGTTGATGCCGATTCCCCCCTTACTCTGGAGGAGTTCGCCGAAGTAAGCAGTGGCTCGTTGATACAGGATGGCGCCCGCGCTTGGGGCGAGCTGACGGGCCGCCCAGCGATGCCCGACGCCAACTTCCCCAAGAAGGTTCAAGCGGTGAAGTCCTGTTGCGACGACCTGCCCGAGTGCGTGACTGGGGTCGAGTTGCCCCACTACAACAGGATGAAGCAAATCGAAGGGAGCATCAGGGAGCTCGTCGCGGAGCAGGGCAAGGACCACGGGCCCATGGTCATCATGCTCTCCGCGGGCGCCTCCAAGAACGTGCACGCCCAAATCATGAGCTACAGGGTGCAGCCGTTCGAGGCGGAGATCTGGGAGGGGAGCGGGCCCAAGTGGATGCGAACCCCCACGCTGATGGACCAGTGGGACATCCAGTGCCACGGGTGCGGCCCCGACGAGCTCCCCCGCATTGAGACGGAGCGTGAATTTGCCTTGCGTTTGGCTCGGGAATGCCTCAGCGAGTGGACAGTGTATCGCGTGGAAGCGACAGAGGTGGCAATGAACAAGGTGCGGGCGACCAAGCTCGCCCAGTTCGACCGCGAGGCGGCCGCGGTCAAGCAGCAGCAGGAGAGACTGATGGCGAACGCGAAGAAGGCCCTGGACATGTGCCTTGGCAGGGCTGCGAAGAAGGGAAAGTGGCACGATGCGGCCGAAGCGGAGGGCCTGGTGGGGCCGCCCGCGGCGCCGGTTGCGCCGCCTGGCGCCGGCGGCATGGCGGCCGCGGCGGCCCTTGGTGGGGGCGCCGCAGCCTCGGCAGGAGGGGGCGGAGCTGCGGCCGCGGATCCTGATCCTGCAGGGGTCGACGTGCTGACGGACGATGGCGAGAACAGCGACCGTGGCGGCGTGGACGACGACTTGATGCTGGAGTGGCAGGCCGCCAAGAAGGCCGACGACGCGCAGAAGAAGAAGGAGATTGCGTCCATCGCGCAGGTGACCATGGACGCCGTCCACATCGAGGAAGGCGGCGAGGTGTTCAAGCCTGACCAGACCAAGCCCATCGGGAAGGTGTATGGCCAGAGGCTCGACACGGTGCAAGCGTCCTGCTATGTGCGGTGCCTGGCCAAGGGGCATAAGCAGTGCAAGAAGTGGGTCATGCTGCATAAGATTCGCGGCGGGACCATGGACCCCGTGAAGTTGTGGCTCAACGACGCCGAGAAGTTCCGCTGCCACGACTCCCACATGGATGCGTTCAACAGCTATGTCATGTAACTTGCCCTGGGGAGTGGGCAATGTGCGCGAGCAGCGAGGAAAATGCGCGTTCTGCTGCTGATGCCACTGCTCCTGCTCACTCTCCTCCGTCTTACTTACTGGCTTACTGGTGCTCCTCCTCTTCCCCCTCCTCCCCCTCCTCCTCATCATCATCGCCCCCCTCGCCCTCCTCTTCGCCCCCCTCGTCCTCCGCGCGACCCCCCGCCCTTCGCCCCGGAGATGGGGGGGCGATGGGGGGCGGAGGGCGAGGCGGAGAGCGACGGGGAGGTCAGACGGGGGCGACGGGGGGCGGAGTGGGAAAGTTGAGGCGGGGGATAGAATCATACCCTTCCTCCGTTCAGAAGGCCCTCTCAAAGAGCGCCGCTCGGACCTCTCCCCAGCACCTGGCGAGCTTGCGCAGCGCCCCGAATGCTCTCTCGTGCTGCAGAACCCTATCATCTTATTATTCTGCATGCATATCATATGATGATATAATGCCAATTCCCCTTGCCTTCTCTGCTCGCCCTCTACGTTCTTCGCACTTCCGCCCTCCCCCTTCGCCCTCTTGCCGGCGTCCTCCCCCTGCCCGTCCGTGCCCGGCCTCCCCCTCCCTCCTCCTCTGTCTTGGTGTCTCCTTTCTCCCTCTTTCCCAGCTGCCTCCTCCTCCTCGCGCGCCCGGCGCTCGTTCTTCTTGCGTGCCATCGCTATCTATCCCCGTGCCGCCCCCGCCCCGCCAGGCGAGCCAACGCGCGGATGATCGTCCGCAGCATGATGAGCGAGATCCGCGGCCCCGCAGCTGCCCTGGCGACGTTGGAAGGGGGCCAGCGGGGGGGGGCAGCTAGCGAGGCTTCGGAGGTCGATGGGCAAACGAGCATGGCCGGCGCAATCTGGTTCCATCATCCTATCATCTAGTCATCGGCGTGATCCAGCTTAATAGTTGAACAGTTTCATCCAAAGTAAGGGTCGGCTGATGCTCTGATCCTGAGTCTGATCCCCATTCCCCCCTTGGCCCCCTAGGCTCAGAACCTCAGCGGCCGCCGCCTGCGCCCAGGGCCCCACCACGACCCCCGCGACCCGGCGCTGCCATGGAGAACGATGATGATGTTGGTGATTGGAGGCCTATCGGGTGGACGTGCCAGGAGGTCAGCAAAGCGGAGCTGCGCTGGCGCAGGCTGTAGATTCCCAAACCCCTCTCCTTGGCATGGGCCGATCTGACCAGCGTTCCGAGCCGCGCCCAGCCGCGGCGTGGGCCCTCAGGAAGTCCCCAACCTTGAGCCCCTGGGGTCGAGGTTCGACATGATCGCAACGCTTTGTAGCCGTAGGCTGTGGAAGCGGGTCCTCAAGCTTCGCTTCTTGATGGCGCTTTTCGGGATGCTCGGACAGTGCCCCTTCTCCTCTTCCTCCCCTCTCCACCTGGCACTTCGCCTTCCCCTTCCCGCTCCTCCTCCCTCCTCCTCCCCCCCCTCCTTCGCCTCTGGGGCCCGCCCTCCGCGCGGGCCGGGGAGCGTCGTTAGGTACCTGAAGATAACTGGCAGCAAGGGCTTCAGAGACAAAGTGGCCGCAGCGTTGCCGGCGAAGCACGTCCCGTACGACCCCGACGCACGCCCCCCCCATGACCAATTCAACCGTCTCAGCCCGAGGGCCTGGGCGCAAACGCCCTCCTGCTTTTTCTCCTCAACCCCTGTTCCCCCTCATATCATATCTCCTCCCCTTCCCCTCTTTTTTGTTCTCTCTCTCTCTCTCTCTCTCTCTCTCTCTCTCTCTCTCTCTCTCTCCC